GCGCATTAAAGTCGAAGCGGAAAGGTAACTACTAACTACAACACACCCCATACACAGCTTACTACTTACTATTTGTGTAGATGAAGCACTACTTCTTTCTACACGTCACCTAAATAATTAACTTAATACCTTTTTTGGTTCTTGCTTTTTGGTTCCTATTCCAGCTTTGCCCCTAGATATGTGCGTTTGAAATCGGAAGATTGGATTTGCTTTGAATTGAAGTAATGCAATTTTTTAACTATTCGCTTAGTAGTTGAAATGGAAAATTATATTTAGTTACATAGTTAATTGCGTACATACATATGTACTTTGTATTTGCATTTGTAATGGTAGTTTTATTTTGATGCCTGCCATACTCTTTTGTAAACGAATTTTTAAATTTTTATTTGGAATGCTTTAGCTTGAAAAAAGTCTAGAAAGAAAATCTTTAACTAAAATGCCCAAATGCATATGGGAGATGAAATGAGATTTATTGAAATCTGAAAATGTAAAAAGAAGACAAAGGCCTTAATAAGGGGATTCCCTTAAACTCGTAAAGTCAAAACTGTGTAAAACTCGTAATATTACGAGGCTGTTACGGCGGTGTTCCCGTGAATAACGCAAATGTTTGAATAGATGGTTATAGAGTCACTGTTTGACTGATTAACCAGGATTTTGAAAATAAACTTTTGTTTTGTAGTACTTTTCATAACAGCCCGTCAGCTCGAAAGAAAGCTAAAATATAATTAAAAAATCCAAAAGTTGCCAGGAAACCCAAGTTAATGTAGTTAGTGGATGAAATCCTTTCATTTTATTTATTTTTTTTTTATATTTCTATATAATTTTTTATTCGATTTCTTTATCTTAAGACATATTTATTTAGTTTTTTATTTAATTTTTCACTTATTTTCATTATTTTACCATTCGTTTTAGTGTAAAATGTTAGGTCCTCGGCAACACTGAAGTTTACGAGGTCGTTTACGTATCTTTAGCTCGTGGTTTTACAGGCAGCTCTTTTACGAGGCTCGTAAACTTGCGACATTTTTTCTCGAAAGCGATTTAAATTAAAAATTAAAATAAAATTAAAAATATGAGCGACGGAGCGTTAATTGAGTGGGGTTGTGTCACGCGGAGACTCTCCAGATGGCGGACATACATTTCGTACATCGGGGGGTCTAGTCTGCTCAGATAGGAGTTGAGTTTGCTGCAGTAGCCAGACCCAAGTTGTCCAGTGTTACGCGGGAGCCCATTTGAGCCTTGCTATGACAGTGATATTCCGGTGACATCATAAGGCATCCCTTGGCTCTCCGAAGTGCTATGTTTTGACAAGTATGTAACTGCATCCACGGCTAGACTTCGGCCACCAATAGCCTTGCATGCTGCCAATAACGTTTCTTGGCCTTTGAGGACTTTGTTGCGACTCTGTACTTTATTGGCAATTGCCTGGCTTGGCCTCCTTCGTCGAAGTGGAAAAAGGTTTTCTGAGAATTTGTAGTGAAGAAGTAGAAAGTTTGGAGAGTTAACCGTTTATTTTCGAGCATTCCCGGGCGCCATTATCGAGCAATCGTCAGCATAACAGATTTGAAATATAGTGGTTAAACAGAAGCGGGGAAAGGACACCACCATGTGGGGCCACCTGTTTAATTTTTCTTGGTTTGCTGGTTTGATTGTGTGTCTTCTAGCAGCGTGGAATGGCTGGCGGCGTAAAACGCCTTTGACAGATCCAACGCTAATAGGACTGTTCTCTCACAGGGGCGGTTTCGGTTTAGGCCACGGGTTATCTAAATGTTTACGGGACTACTCCCCCCAGATGCCCGAAATAATGAGGATAGCCATGAGCAAATTGAGGCCTTGGCGAGATAATCTACTACCGCAGGACCCATTTTTTTCAGGATCGGCAAGTAAATTCTGTCGGCTTAAATGGCTTTGAAGGCTTTAGCCTTCCCGATGGCTACCTGATCTTCACAGCTGGTCAAAGCAAGAGGCGCAATGGGGGTTGGTAGTTTGTGCAGCCTTATTGCCACTCGACGTTTGGCTTTGCGCTCCGTAGGATGCAGCCTTGAGCTGTCGGCTATAATAGCTCGCGCATCTCTCCGGATCCGTCGAAGCGTGGCCATCTAGTAGGCAGGTATTTTCAACTAGCGAATTTAAATATTTTGTCGTGTAAATATATCTTTAGTAATGTGTAAGCATATCTCCCGTTTTTAAAAAGGTAAAAGATGTTCCATATATAGTCAAGCATTTTATCGGCACAGTGAGTTTAGCTATTAAAAAGTAGAAAAAACATAAGTTCCATGAATACATCGAATTAAATTTAATGCTATTCTAGATTTAATTCCTATTATTATGTAGTAAATTGTACAAGAACTATGTATTTTTATATAATTTGGTTTTATTTTCTATCTAATTCTTAGGTAATTATTATTCGGCTCCTTTTAGTTAGTTCGCTTGTTTGGTTACTTGCATTCTAATGTCAGCAGAAGCAAAAAATATATTTTTTTCTTATTACTCTCATTAAACATTTTGCATGCCTTCCTTATACTCCCCAAACAAATTTTTCACTACTGCTTTGCATTACTGCCATTTTCATACGTGTTTCCTTCTGGTAAATTGCGAATGTTTGTGCGCAATATCAACATTACTCATACAATTTGTTTCTCTTCTGTATTCATTTTTTCTTACATGTCTTCTCACTACGCTCCACATCCTCCTGCTTCTCTTCCCTCCAACGCTTTGCTGTACATTTTGGTGGATGTGTATTTATGAACTGTACAGTCGCCGTCATCAACATTACCATTCTCAACGCAGTGCGCGCTCACAAGACATCAATCCGCCGCATCATCATGCAGCCATATTAAACAACCGAGGCGACGCTGGAAGCATTGAGAAGAGTGGCGGCCTACTGCGACCCTCATCAACCTACTATGAATACGAGACAGTGCAACATAATGTGAGTCCAGCGGCAGCGGCAGCACAGCATCATCAACTACGTAGCGGTAGCCTGAAACAGAATGGGCATCACTCGCCGATTACGGTGAATGGTATGCAACAGCATCAGCAACAGAAACAGCACCAGCAATACAACAGCAGCAATAACCAACACCACCACCTCCCACAAAAACAACAACACCAGCAGGCGCAACAACAATCAGGTCCGCCACCAGCGCAACCGCATTGGAAGGCAGCCGCCTTAAATGGCTTTTCGCCCGCCACGCTCAATAGCAGTGCACGCAGCCGCGGCCCATTTGTCACGCATGTGACTATACGCGATCAGAGTTCGGCGGCGATTGCCGCGCAACCCACATACCAAACAGTACAGAAACAGCAGCCACAATTCGCAAGTGCTGTCGTTAGCGGTGGCGCGCAGCCGCATGCGTCGAAAGTGTGACTATAGGTGCCGGAGCTACGCCCGAGGCGTGGCGGCGAAGTGCAAACAAGCTGGGAGATGGGGAGCAGCGGTGCGTGCGCTAGACGACGGGAGAGCGATGCAAATGATTGTGGCAATAGTGGCAGCAATGATGATGGCGATAATGATTACGATGATGTGGACGCAGATGTAGTGGAGATTTTCTACCTGGCCACGGAGTGTTGAAGCGGACTGCAATGTTTTTCTAAGTCAACAGCAAAAGAGGAAAATTTTACACTTACATACATATGTAGCTATTGGCATTGAAGCAAAATCCTTAAATCATGAGACTGTAGCGAAGCGAACAGAAATCGAATTACAATGCAGCTGACATGCAATTACGAAAGAGAGGAATTTTTTATTATAGTTGTGTGTATATATATTATTTGTAGTATTAAGGGAATTCGAAATGATAACAGTGAAAGAGCTGCAGTATCGTAAAGTGAAAGAAGTATGATTCCGCATCATATTTGGCTCGGAATTGTACATTTCAAAATTATTTTTTGTTTTAATTTCCGCTTAGAATTTTGCATATTATGCAATTAAACAGTATTTTTTGTTCATTTAAAAAGCGATTACGTTCTCACTGTCACGCGCGTTCTTAAGGGTGAGCGATGAGTTGGAAAGTCTAATTGAGAAAATGAAACGAATAAAAACCACAAAAATAACGAAACGAAAAATTAATTAGGCATACCAATGTCTATTAATTAGTAAGTTTATGGCTAAGAGTTAGGTTGGAAAAAAAGATTACAATTAAAAACGGCGTTTTGTCAACCATTTATTTATGAATATGTAGTTTTATTACATACATACATACAAATTTATAGTAGTTATTGTAAACAAGCATTAAATTTTGCTTTGAGAAATTATGCTGGAAAAATATGCTGCTTTAATATTGTTTTCTTTTTTTTTTAATTTTCCTAAGAAAAGATTTAAATAAATAAATGCTCTTTATGGAGTTATATTCTAATGTGGTATAAAAATATATTAAGCTTAAGGAAAAAAAAGTTAATCATGTTTCTTAACTTAATTTTTTTGTTAAAAATTTTTTGTATTCCAACTATTGGTTATAAAACATTAACTTGTAAAAAAATGCGCCCACATGCATATACATATACAAAAATTAAATACAAAGCTCGTATTTAGCACAGAAAAAATGAAGAGTTTTTTTGAATATCCAAAAAAATAGGTTCTTATGTACATACATACATTCCATACAAAAGCGATAAATGCATTTTAGCGCTGAAGAATATAAAAAAAAAACTAAAAAATAAATAAAGGTAATTAACTTAGGTTTCCCAAATTAAGTTAAAAAAACACGAAAATTAACACTATTCCAAAAACCATAAAATACTGAATGAATTAAATAGTTCACGCAGTAAAGCAACTTTGGTAATGATGAAATCTGTGGACATTTGGCAAAACAACTTCACTTGGGTGCCTCTATTTTTTTTTTTGTTTACTACTAGCACTAAATCGTTGTGTTGCAATGCAAACTTAGGAATTTCTTCTTCTTAAAATTCCATATCTTTCACTTAAAGTTATTTGAAAAATATCGACTAAAAGGTCTGAAATTTTTAGAAAAAGGTTTTGCTTAGTTTGCATGCACACGGCCCAATATTGTAACTATTTACAATCATAAATGTAGTTTCAGAAGTCCTTTTAATTAATAAAAGCTCTATAAAAATATAGAGTTGTTTATGGAAGTCTATTGTTTTTTTTTCATCTAAATTCAAACCTTCTAGAATAACATAAGTTGTTTTGTCAAAAGCCCACAGAAGGTCTAATTTTAGATAGAATTTCCTTTTAACTCCCTACAATAGTCAGCAATTGTTGATGTAAATGGTCAAAAACCATCAAACTGCTAGAAATATGCACACATTTTTTTTTCTTCCTTTGCCAGCAATACTATTCACCACTTTCTATTATAAGTTCTTTGTTACTAGAATTTTTGGTTTTTTTTTTCTTTGGAAATTAATTGTTCCATCCATAAACATGTGCTTAATTAAATATATTTATGTTGTTATTTTTCTACACTGTTTACATTTTTCAACCGCTTGGTGCGAGTGTGTTTTTGTTAATTAAAATATGCTTCAGCGTTCTCGAAAGAAAAGAGATATATGTATTCTAATTACTATTGATTCTAATATGTACTTGAACTACTATATAGTACCGCTCCTATTACTAATTTTGTACTTAAATACATGTATTTATGAAGCACACGGCAATATACCGATATTGTTTTCTACTAACTAACCACATTTTTCCACCTATATCAGTTAATATTTATTAATACTTATATTAGAAAAAGACATGTCTGTATTTCTCAAATTGCCATTTGTATAAAAAAGATGCGAAACTAAAAAAGACGAACAAGCACTATTGAAAATACAGCTTTAATATTTTAAAAGGAAATTAAAAAAAAATATATTCTGTTAAGAAAAATGGACAAAAGGAATTAAAAAAACTTACGAAAGTTTTGTAATATATTCCGAATATTGTACACGCACCCTTTGGAAAAGGAGAAAAATGAAAAAAATAAATAAATTTGAACAATTAAATTAAACGGAGCTACCACTGAATCCATCGTACGCATACATACATACATACATGTATTACGCATTATGATGCACCTAAATATATTTACGTGTAAATACATGAAAGAAAATTTTCGACACGTTAAGGTCCCAGTCGTTTGTCGTCTTGTAACCATAATTATCCCAAAATTAGCCCACTTAAGCTCCCCTGAGAGTGTTTAGCGCACTCACACTCGCATAAATCATTTTTCATTTCGTTACCTTAATATAGAAATAGTCGTTTAAATGCAAAAAAGCTATAATGTACTAAAATTTGTTATTGCCTAAACCGATGTGGGGACTTTAATACGATGAATCATAATTAATGAAAAAGCGAAGTTTGGATTTCTATATTACGGCAACGATTTGCTTATAATTGAACCTTGTGTTTTTAAACATACATATGTATATGTATAACATACATATGTACATGTACATTTGCAACTTGCGTTTGCACATTTGTAAATAATAAACTTATAATTTTTATTTTCGGTTATCGTATAGCATATGTACTTACATATTTATATGTATATATATTTATGTATTTACAGGCGCATATCATATTTTCTGATTAAGTACTTACATACATACATTTGTAAATATGTATGTTTGTAAATAAGATCATGTCACATGGTGTATGTCCATCCATAACACAACAGTTCATTTTCCATTTATTTTTTGTTTATGTTTTCATTTGAGCTTCGTTGTTTGTCAAGTATTTTTAATATTTTGTTTTGGTTCGTGTTTTAATTTCTTTTGTTGTTTTAATTTATATACGTACACATGCAAAATAAAGTTTGCAATACATACATAAGACCGTGCCTAGTTTTAACTACTTAATATTTTTTTTAAATACATAGATACTTAATCGTAACTACCACTACTACTTAGTGATTAATATTGCTCAGTATATACTTTTTAGTTGTAATTCGAATTCAAAAATCCACTAAATATAAGTTAATGTTATAAGAAATGAAAATGAAAACGAAACATTTAAAATTATGCTAATATTAATAAAGAAAATTTATTAAAACAAATTTTATTCGGTTGTGCTTTACGAAATGTGAGTAACGAACTTGACTTGCATGTGATTTTAATCCAAATACGAAAGAGTTTGTAAGAAGATACAAAACACGTTTGAAAATTACTAAATCTTAAAACACAGAGGTGGTTTCTAGAGTCCGAATGAAAGTTAAAAAAAAAAATAAATCATATCTCACTACCGGTATTTTATAACTCGTCGTAAATTTCTTTGCAATAACTTAATATAATTCAGATATTTTTCGACCGGTATCTTTGGATTTTTTTTTCAAGTCATTCGTGTGCGTGAAGACGACTTAAAACTCTTTGTATTCTATATTTCATAACACGTATTTGACGAAAAAGAAACAAAAGTATAAATCGTTTTCAGCAATACGAATTAATATAAGGTGATAGCAGGAGTACAAAAACAAAAATTTACATGTATTTTGTTTTTGCTTTGGCGGCATAAACTGTCAAAATCTGTAAGAGTGTGTGTAGATTTTCAAACAAAATTTTTCAATTTGATATCAGAAGCCGTGCGGCGAAACACATACACAAAATCAGCTGAGCTAGTAACACCACCTTATATAAATTCGCCTTGAGCAATACTTTTTTGTTTTTTTTTTTAATGCTTTATAAAATTCTTAGCATTCAGATTCATGGTTTGCCTTTTCTCTGCTCCCAGAGAGTACTCCTTTAAAAAACCGACAAAGTGAGTGAGAGCAAAACCCTGGCGAACGTTCCCAAAGTGAACAAAAAGCAAACAATATGTTCGGGAACATTTATAAGAGAACAAAATGGAAACAAAACCCTCCGGAACGTTCTGGCCTGAAACAAAATGGTATCAAAAGTCTAAGAAACTTTCTCGCGAAGAACAATTTGGAAACTAAAGTCTCAGCAACATTCTGACAAAGAACGAAACGAGAAAAAATCTTCTCTGAACTATTCGTGAAGAATGGAAGCGAGAACAACATTTTTCTCATAGCGCCGCATTAGGGTGCGTTCAGAAATGAATCAAGCCAAAGCATCAGTTACTTTTATTTCTAAACTGTAATTGGTGGAAAAGACCAATACGCGCAGGCACGGTTTAATAACGAATTGGAACTTATTTGCTTAAATAAGGTATATCCATCAATTATAGTTTAGAAATAAAAGAGACTGATGCTTTGGCTTGATGCATTTCAGAACACACCCTTAATTTGAAATGTTTGAATATTAAAAATAAAAAATCTCGGGCCCCTATATATAAATTGTAATAATTTAAAAGCATGTGATCAATTGAGAGTTTCCATTTAGGGTTTATATAATGTTTAGAGTCAGAGACACGGTTTCTATAAAGAAAAACATGGTTACTGAATGCATGCGCATTGTTTTCTTTCAAAATGCAATTGTAGAAAACAAGTCATACTTTTGAGATATTTCAGTTCCCTTAAAAAGCCCGGTCCCAGGGCTGAATTCACCCTAATGATGAAACGATATGGAAGTTGAAATGATCCAGCTTTCCTCTGGCTTAGAATTAACATACGCCAAAATGAGCGATAAAAAACTAATCACAGTCGCTTATTGAACGAGAAATCGACATGCACATAACCATGGAAAAGTAATCGAATAAGAGTTGATTGTTGACTCAGATGACTTCTTGCAGAACAACGATTTTCATAAACTGTTTGGATCCCTTTTACGCATTGTTCACGTAAGTATCGCCCCATGAATAAGTTTTCCAAAGCCTGTAGTACCTACTGTCTGACCAAAAAAAACTAAAATACCTCATCTGATTCACGCTTCATTCGCCCTATACTTGAATTATCTAGGGAACATTTTTACACCCGGTTCTGAAACCACAAAAAGGTTGACCCTGTCATATGCGCCAACTACTGCGGTTTCAGCCTTTTAAGCATCGGCTATAAAATTTTATCGAGCGTATTTTGTGAAAGGCTGACATAGACAAACTTATTGAGCTTTATTAGCGTGAGGTAAGTCCACTATAGACCAGTTATTCACCAAATCTTGGAAAAGAAGAGGATCGACCACCATAACCACCAGACTCCCACCTTGCCCGTTTTAGAGCTACCTTCGATAGTACGATAAGAACCTCCCTCACGCCGCGATATCTGAATTTGTTATCTCTGCGAAACTCATACGGCTGTGCATAATGACGTTAAGCAAGGGCACTAACCATCTCAATTAAAATTAGGGAGATCTCCGAATCATCCGATGCGAAACAAAATTTCAGATAGGACGACTCACTCTACGACATAATTAATCTCTGGTGGTGGAGAGAGCAGCAGAGCTGAATCTCTCGGGTAATTTTTTTACAATGGACTGTATATTTGTTCTATCAAATTTGATAAAGAAGCAAAGCAAATGGGCACCCTTTTTTCTTCATGCTCTGCTGCTTATGCTCAACTTGAAATCTATTGAAGTGCTATTGAAATTTTGTAAGAAAAAATTTTATTTCATTTGATTTAGTAGTAATGAGCACCGAATAGTAAAAATTGTGTTCTTTGAACGCGTAATGTAGGAAATTCGCCCAAATGTTCGAATAGAACGTGATAATTTCAAATACGCTCATACACCCGTCACTCTTGACAGTTATAATTTCGAAAAAGTGGTGGACTTTGTTTATTTGGGAACCGAGAGTACTTCTGCCATGAAAGTTTCTCATAAAAACTGTTCTTCGTTCGAAGGCGACGGCATCAAGACGCACCCCACAAATGGGAAGAGAAAGTCGGCCATTTTTGTACTTTCCGCCTGAGAAGAGAAAATAACATTTCCATTTCTTGCATGGTGAGTATTTCAGCTAGTTTTTACATAAAATATATGGTAAGTAGTATCCAACTGTGCCCATATGCATACATATTTTTATTTAACCTTTCTACTAATGATTTTTTATGCTTATTTATAACAAATGTATTTCCTAATAAAAAACAATTGTATGCACAAACATACAAGAAGTAATCATCTCTAAAAACACCAAAATTGATTATATAGGTTCATTAGCAGCTATGGCATATTTCTACGATCACTTCCACCGATTACCGCCGCCGCCGCCCCTTCCTTTCGTACTGGTCTGTGCATTCTGTGCTTGTTCTTCCTGGGCTGCTAATTCCTCATCTAATAGAAGTTCGAAATTGCCCAAAGCGTCCGCACTGGGTATTTTATTCCAGCGCACACTACAACGAAAAAAAAAACAAAAGTTAGCCGCACATGAAAGTCAATCAGAATAACTAGATTATAAGAAAAATAAAAAATAAAAAACAGGAATGCAATATCGCACTGCATTCGCCATATTCCGGTTCCACATCATGCGCTCAGCCTGCATAGTAGTTTTCCAGAACATTTGGTTTGCAACCCTGCTTACAGACGCAGATTCCGTTTTTTTTTTTTTTAATTTTATCAAGACAATTGCAGCTTTTCGTTGACCTTAATTAAGATTAAAAATAAAGCGTATTTAATTGTTTGACTTACTCAGGTACACCGTCCGGCGGTAACACCACCGATAATATATTATCAATTAGTTTGTATTTTAATATCCGATCAGTGACTGTTGTAGATGTGAGTGAAGGTGAGGCGTTCACTTCCACCAGCCACGGCTTCAAAGTGTTGTCTATAATTATATCGTAGCCATAACATTCGAAACAATGGCGATCGCTGGCCATTACCGGCGCTACAGCGCGCAATGAATGCACAATTAGCCAGGCGATGGAGCCGAAGAGGCGATCCGTTACCTCCTTGCCGCGTGTGCCCTCCAAATAGAGTGCCAAATTTTGCACCGACCATTTGCCGCCATGCAAGTTGTTGTATTCACCCTACAGAAAGGGAGAAATGAAATAATGCGAAGGAAGGAAGGAAGGTAAGTGTCGTCATGCAGTAATGGATGTCCTACTTACGCCATGTTTTTGTACGCTCACATTCGTCAAGTGCACATACATATTGTCCAGTTCGGTAACGCTTGTATCATATTTGACTGTGCAGAAGCGACAGAAACCTTGCTTGAAGAGATATGCCTTCAGTGGACGAAATGACGTGACTAGCACATAGAGTCGGAGGTCGAATTTTTTACCACCAATGAGCAGCGGGTTGTCAATATATCTAAATGTAGGTGCATTAAAATTTTAATTCTGTTTATAGTTTAAAAATTTACTTCGAAATCACATAACTCTCCTTAGACAATTGCTGGTGGAATGGACCTTTCGCTTCACGCGACCAACGCTTTAATTTCGATAATTTATTTATGAGAAAAATGCCGGCACCTTGCGATTTGCCGCACGGTTTCATAATCCAAGTGCTTTGCGGATTCTTACGATATTCCTCAACAAACATGTTATAATCTGAGCAAAAACAAATAGAAAAGATGTAAATTGAAAGAGCGTAAAAAGGGATTATTAAGTATGTAAACATAATAATAATAATAGATTGGCGCTTACACATATTTTAGTGTTTAGTTGGAGGTTTGCCATTGCCTGCCGAGGGGCGACCACTGTTAAGAAGAAACCTTTTTTCTAAATTTTTTTGCGATGCTGCTTTAACCAGGGCTTGAACCCAGGTCCTACGGAGTGGAAGCGCGCACTGCTTACCACTACACTACAGCCGACGCTGTGTGTTAAGAACAAGCAGCGAAATTAGAGTAAAACATATAAGTCGTGCTTTCGTACTTTTCAGTAAAGAACTATCGAGTACCTTGCCAGTAACAAAATTCCGAGAGTAAGTCAACATTTGGTCTCCGTGGGATATATGTATATACAAGAAAGTACTAAAACCCTTAACTAGTAACAATTTGCAAGTTTTGTGAACAGCAGATTAATTTATTATTTTCCGAGGCAATTTCCTAATGAAAATGGCATTTCCTATCTTACCATATTATACAGGGACACCCTAGCCACCCCCTCTTATATGGAGGGAAAATTTTTTTTTGGTTACAAAACGCAAAAATTTGACTTCGAACCGGAAGTGGATTAAATTGACTGGAAATCCATTTTTATTAGACATATGTACATTCTTTTACTACACATTCGGATTCTGAGGATAAAAACCTTTCTTCTGGAATATACTTCCGGTTAAAACAATGGACTTCCGGTCTGTTTCACTAATTTACGTTGCAAACCGGAAGTCAGTAACACGACCAAAAGATAGAGTATCACTGACTTGGTAATTCATAATGTTTCGTTTTCCAATAAAAACATTAGTGGTATTCACCAAATTGAGCAAGCGGTCTGGCAGTCTGGCAAAAGAGCAGATGAGCTCAAGCAACGACTGTGGAGAACGGACATTTGACCGGACATTTGGAAACTGGCCCTACTGTCCTTAATGTCTGGTTACCCCCAGTACATAATTATCGACGATTTCGACATCGTGTATATAACATATGATCGATAAACCAGTCGCCGTCTATTTTAACAAAATTTAAAGGAGAGTAAAACAACTTCGTATGGCCATTTTCTTCAAGTACAGTCATACGAATCAGAAAAATTCGATCTTTATTAAAAGATTTCGTATTATTTTGGCCTAATCGCTTTTTCTGTTCAAGTACTGAAAGTGTAATGGTTCTAAAACTATGAAAGTTGGTATTTATACTACTAAGAGTATTAGCAATTATTGACGGGCAGAACAAATCATTAATCGCACTTAAAGGTACTTAGGCTCAAAACTTTTCAGCGTCCCCTTGTACAAATGTATGTATTTGCATAGAAATGCTAAATGCAGATAGATTATTTAGATAATAATATTCACCTACCAGCCGGCAAAACAAATGTTATGGGAATAAAGTCCAGATACACATAACGCGGTGCACCCGCAGCAGTTGGCTCTGAACGTTCCGCCAGTGGGTTGCCCTCACGTTCGAGATCCTTGCGATAACGTTTGATATTCTTCACCAATAAATCCTTGCGCGACAACTCATAATGATTAGGAAAGTGATTAATCATTCTGTAAGTTATTAATTTTTACTTCCTTTTTGCATTGATGTACATATGTATGTACATTAGACTGCATAACTCACCCATTTAAAAAAAATAACGGTACTGTTTTTCCATTGGAATTAAAAAATCTATTATATTCTAAGACTTGCACCAAAATATTTCGGAGAAATATTAAGATTTACGTGAGCTCGACCGAATTGAAAATACCTCCAAAAATTTAATTCAATTCTCATATAAAAATTTAATGTAATCGTTTTGGGACCACCTGTGAGATAACATCTTTCATTAAAAAAAATAATTATAAAAATCGGTTAACGTGGTCCAATGTTATGCGGTAACATATCTACATAAAACAAGAAAAATATTCCGACGAATTGATAACCTTTCTCCTTTTTGTAAAGTCGGTTAAAAGGAAAGGTAGGATGAACGAGCGTCATTCCAAGTAGAATTCAGATGTGTTCACATTGAAAAAAAAATAGGACGTGAATGAGAAATAAAAAGAGTGGGAAAATATCTTTCCTAAATCGGTATAGTTTTGACGGAGTTCTCCAAGTTTTTCTTAAACCAATCTTAAAAAAAAATATTAAAAAAAAACAGCATCAAAAATCGCATTACTACGATTACGTTGAAAAACAATTTTAATATTTTTATGCAGATTTTTTAAGCTTAAACTGTTTTGTCAACTGAGAGATTTTTTTTATTCTTTAAGAAACTATTTTTATTCATAAAAAAAACTCCATTATTGGAGGTATTTTCAAATCGGACACGTGAATCTTAATATTTTGGTGGACGTCTTCAAATATATCTAATAAATTTTGTAATCCCGACGGAAAAATGCAACTTTTTTTTAGGGATGCAGTCTAATTTACATACATACATATATATTTGTTATTAACACGACAGAGATACTCACTGATTATCGTGCATGCGATAGCCGCTATCGACGCTGAAAATATTCCGACATGTCTGCACGCCTGCCCAATAGAAATGCCAATCATCGTCAGGGCTTACTTGCGTCCAACCGCGTTTCTCGAAATTATTCACCAAAACTGATTTGTCCAAATCTGTGCAAAAGCTCACACGCAGCCGTTCATGTGGTACCGCATTGCTAGTTCTGTTGTGACGGTGTTTTTTCAATTTAAGTTTTTTCCACATTTTCGAAATAAGGATACAAACATACAAAAACAAATTGTATTTTTTTTTTAGCCACTATTTCTTCGCTAGGTCAGCATTGAGTACTATTCTTAAGGCAAAGGTATGCTGTGAATGCATAAACTAAACTCACCTGCCATACATTTATGTGTTTCGATTCGTCGATTCTATTTAAAAAGAAACCTTCACGAAATTATATTATAAAATCAATCGCTATTTGCCGGCGATTTATTTATTTCTTAATATCCTTATCAAAGTGGATTTCGGTGCAATCAAAGCAATTAAGGTCCGCCAATGCTTCGCTAAACGTTCTATTTACGGTCTATATTTATTTATGCTTAACTGCTTTGCATCAGTGTGTACTCATGTATGTGAATTTTTCGGCGCGCCAGCGGTTTATTGAACCAACATCAGCTCCTGTTGCTAATAATTTTGTGTTGCTAAGAATTTGTATCACTATTCACTAATGCGTGCATGTACTTAGTATATGTATGTAACAATATTTCACTCAAAACATGCGCCTTAACTTGACTGCCTGAAAATAGTTCGTTAAAAAATAATAAAAGAAAAACATGTTAGAAATAAATATTATTCAATTGAAATGGAACAACTTACGGGGATACCAAGGTGAATTATTTCAAATAAGAGTGTTCGTGTTGAAACCTGGCGATGGTTATTGTTTTCCGGCCAAAATATGTTCGTGCTGAAATGAAGAATGTGCAACAGTCCAGTTCTGGTTATTACCCAGCCAACCAGCGGAGTCCGCAGGGGGCACAATTAGGACTCCCTGTGCGGTGCACTGATGCTCCTAGGGAGGCTCCGAAAAGAGACCCAAAGAAGTGTATCCGCCGTAAAAAAATTGCCCAATTTACACAATATTTTAATGTTTGGCCGAGCTTCTCCGCCGATTTGTGGCGTGGCCTTGATGTTGTCATAAAAAGGGAGGGACCTACAGTTTTACGCCGACTGCGAACGGTGATTGTATTTCTATGAGAAATTTTTTCATTGCCTGCCTAGAGGACCGCTCTTAGAATTTCTGTTTATGTTGGTTGGAAACCTGGCTCGAACCCAGGCCCTGCGGAATGTTGTCGCGCACTGCCAACCTATACACGAGAGCGGTCCTTTCAATATACATATGTATATTGAAAAACTGTGCATTTAGGACTCCATAAATGAGTGATTTCTGGGTCCGAAAAAGCTCACTCAGATAATCTGCTAAGGCTTCGTGGGGAATCCACTAATCTCCTAAGATTTTGTGAAGCAGACTCCTTAAATCATCCGAAGATAACCCAGATGGAGAGTTTTGGGAGTGCTCGGATAATAGACCGAAAGAAGGCTTTACTGGTTTTCAAAATGCTCCTATTTTTTTTTTTTTGTAATGAATAAGCATGATTCAATAATGAAAGGTTTTGTAAGAAAAACTTTCTCTCGCTCTAATTTTATCAATGACACTCCCACCCTACTCCTAAAAACAAAAACAGTGATATTTCTTTTCCAAATTTCTTTGCAAGTTTTAAGAACATTTTTAAATTGTTAGTAGTGAAATTTTTACTTTTTAAATTTGAAGAAATGTTTGTTCTGCATTCGCTGGCGCCAACAAGACAAAATGGGTGAGAATCGTTGGACTACAGAAATTCAATGTTAAGAGACGAAATTCCCTTAAATGCCGAAATGTATTTGTCGATATTCGTGGAGACCTCTTGATTCTGCCAAGTCGCTGTAAAGTAAAGCGATCAATGAGCCAACGAAGGTATTTAGGTATTGTACTCCACGACACAATCCTGGTGTCTCCGAATGAGATTTTGACGGTTTAGTCAATGGCGCGATGTAATTGCACACTTAAAAGGTGTACGCACGAGGCGAATGTTGGCTGGCGACCAACTTTATTGAAAGCGATTAGCTGAAAGTAGAATGCAAAGTTGAACAATACAAACGCCTTTTTATGGCGAATATTTTAATATTTTTTTATATTTTGATATTTTTAGTCATTCAAATTTTTTTTCGTGCAACCCGGCGGGAGTTGAACGCAAAAGTTGCCTGAAAAATCGCCTCGTGCGAAAGCCCCATTACGCCACTTCTCATTTGACGATGTAGATCACGTTCCCTATCTCAGTCGTTCAGTAGCTGCGTGCTCTGAGTTCGTCCGGCACCAATCGCCAACTGCGGCTGTGCAAGCCAGTGTTGAATATTTTCCCCAGAACATAAAAAGTGCGACATCAAAGAATTCGAAACAATCGAGCCATAACCGCGAAAGAAACGTAAGCTCCAAATTTTTTTATTTGCCGTTTTTTTGTTTAATAAATATTGCATATTTTCCGCAAACAAATAGCTTCTTCATGTCCATCAACTGGCAAACAAATACAACAAAAAAAAAGCTGAAAGTGGACCATCCATTCTCGAGTTATGCGCCATCTGACGTACGCAAGTTTGGTATAAACATAGAAATATTTATTTTTAATAACAATAGGGGGTTATATTCGATGTAAATAAGCTTGTTTAAATTAAATAATTAAATCAAATTCGTTTTTGTTTTAAAATACCACCATTCACTATTATCCACACGTTTTTATAGAATTTAGCTCCCATTTTAGGAAGTGTGATTGAATTCTTCCCCTTTTTCTTCTGCTTCCAAAAACCATCCCTGTGGGTGGGAGTGCCAAATTTTAGAAAAAAGCTACTTACAAAACCTTTAATAATTGAATCATGATGAATAAGTACATATTCGATTTTTTTTGATCATTTCTTTCTATTCTCTGAGATATGATCAAGTATTATTTGAAGAAGATCTAAATCGTTGATGTAAGTTACACGATTTATGGAAGATTTCAAGACCTGCGCGTAGTCTCTGGATAAGAACCACAAAGTCGATGTCCTATTATAACGAGGTATAAATCGCAATTTAGCGATTGAGAAAGTGGTCCGGCAGCTAACATTAAGGTGCGATAGTGAGCAGTTAAAAGTAGCCTGCAAGCATCTCATGTGCGCTAATTACCGCGGTATCAGCTTATTGAATGTCGCATATACGGTCTTATCGCGACAATTGGGTGATAGGCTGAGGCCCACCATCGACGAACTGACATTCCCGTTTCGGTGTAGCCATACACCAAATCTTGGAAAAATCCCGCGAGAAAGAGATTTTCGCAAATCATTGTCTTTTTGAATTCAAAGTCGCTTTAGACAGCGCAAAAAGGAGCTGGCTATATGTTGCGATTGCTGAATTTGATATCCACGAGAAACTAATACGGCTTTGTAAAACACCCGCTCCGACAGCGTTGTGAAAGACCTGTCCGAGCCGTTGTAACCAAAATAGACTTCAGACATCGCAACTGCCTATCATACCTTCCAAGTTTGATATGGAAGCAAAGGGCGTGGGCCTGAAGGTGAACGAAGACAAAACGTAATAATTTTGAAAAGGTAGAGAACTTCGTATGTTAAGGAATTATCATTAATATCGATCATGGTGGCAGCCTCCCTCGTCGTACGAAAAACTACACTCTACATATTTCACCTTTAATGCCCGTGATGGTGTGTGGCTCAGAAACATGGCCAACGCCAACATCCGATGAGGCGACCATTGAATTTTTCGAGGGAAAGATTTTGCGGAAGATTTACGGCGAGTACCGCAGACGATGAAACGATGATCTGTTTGAGATTTACAATGACATGAACAGAGCACACTGGGTTAAAATACAAGGACTTCGCTGGCACGGTCTTGTCGAAAGGATGGACACAGTAAGCCTTGAAAGTATTTAACGAGGTACCCGCTGGTGGTAGGAGAGGAGGAGCATTCTCTGCGTTAGAAAACTAGGTTTGGAAGGACTTGGCTTCACTTGGAACTTCCAATTGGCGTCATTTGGCACAGAAGAGACTGGCGTGCTTTATTGGACACTGTTTAAATCACTTACTGCGCCAACCAAGAAATAGAAGCGAAATAACAGATTCCTTTATTCTACTTGTTAGTTTACAAGTCGCTTTTTGAATCAAATGATTTAGTTGGATGACTTAAATTTTATAGCAGTAATAAATTCCTTATCAAATTAATAAAAAGCTTTTTTGCGTTTTTACCTTTCTGAAGCTTTTGCACTTAACACCAAATTAAAGTGAAAGTTTTGTGTAAAACACTGCTGCCTTTATTCGCTCATTCAGTTCTATTCAGTGATCGCGTATGAAAATACACAACGCGGAAAATCATTCTAAATATAGAATCCAATAAAAATAAACACTTTCTACATTTGCATATCCAACCAAGTAGATACTTATTTACCAACAATAAAGGCTAACAGTGATTTCGATTCCATAATAAGAAAACATTTAAAGTGTTTTCTCCATAAACGAAGTTGTAAAATGGATTTGCTTTTTCTAAGCAAGCGAATTTTCCTGGGCACCGAACGGGAATTCCTCAATGGTGGCATTATTGTCGACACAGAGGGCATCATACGTAAGATTTTGCGCACTGCGCAAGAGGTGAATACCTATGTATACAACACGGAATCGGAAGCGGTGAGCAAAAAAGAGAGAAATAAAACATTTTGCCGGTTAGCAGGCGGTTGTTAGAGAGCATCTTTAAAAATATGCGCTATTTGTTTGGGTTTGTCGTAGGTCTATGATTTTGGCGACAAAGTGCTTATGCCGGGTCTGATAGACGCCAATGTGAATATCAGCGAGCCGGGGCGTAAGGATTGGGAGGGATTTATGGCGGCAACAAAAGCAGCAGCTGCCGGCGGTTTCACCACGATCATCGATAGACCTACGTACGTGCATACTTTTAGACAGATGTGCTACACATTTTGTTGATAAACTAACTTTTCGTTTTAGTAACACCATACCGCCCACCACCAGCGTAGCGGCGCTAAAAACGAAAACTGGTGTGGCGCGTGGAAAGCTTTACGTGGATGTCGGATTTTGGGGTGGCCTAGTACCTGAGAATGTCAAAGAAGCTGATACGTTGCTGGGTGCTGGCGTTATCGGACTGCAGTGCACACTTTCGCCCACACCGGCACCAATTGGAGATGCTTTTCCCGCCATAAATCGTAAAGATCTTGAAGATGTGATCGATAAGCTGGAGGATGGCACAGTTATAGCTGTAAGAATGTGAACATGGAATTTGATAAGCTTTCGTTTCTATGAGACCGAAAGGTGTTAGGAAACCAATACAAGTACATTTAGTAAAGTTTTGTGAAAAAATATCCCCGAAACGAAAGCATATCGCTCTTAAATGAGTAATGAATAATGTAGAATTAACCACTTCTTAATGTATACAGTTTAGTGCCGAGTTGCCTCTAAAGAATGCCATAGAGCCCAATGAGGAAGAACCCAAAAAATATGAGTCCTTCTTGCGCACACGTCCCGAAGAAATGGAAGTAAATGCCGTGCAACTGATCAGTCAATTGGCCACGGCAAATAAGGGGTAGATATTTACGCTTGTTGAAATTTACAACAAAAAAGTCATAAGATACATTCGTTTTTTTGATGTTCCAGCAAACATATGCATATCATGAACATAAGCTCCGCCGAAGTGTTGCCCATTGTGGCGCAATGCAAACGCGCCGGCGCAAATCTGACTGCTGAAACTTGTCCCCATTACCTTGCATTGTCTTCAGAGCAAATCGAAGATTGTCATACCGAGTTCAAAGCCCAGCCTCCGATACGCGTGAAGTCAAATCAGCCCCGGTTATGGGACGCTCTAAAAGCTGGTTGCTTGGATATTATTGCCTCAAATCATTCGCCAGCGACGCCAGGAGTGAAGTGTTTAAATTACGGACGTGCGCGTGGAAACTTTTTGAATGCTTGGCCTGGCGTCTCGTCGTTGCAACTGG